CACAGCTATCTCACCCAGACTAGGTACCACTGGGAGCATATTAGAGTTTTTGGTCAAAGAGTTACTTTAATAAAGGTCTATTGAGAACATAGCAAGCCTAGTGTCCAATTCTGGGCTCCTGGTTCATCACCTGGGTCCTGCCACTTGAATGGAAAAAAGATATAAGCTAAGTGGCTCTAGGCTTCTCCTGAGCAGCAATGGACCATGTATACTTAAATATTTTGTAACATAGATCATTATTTGTCATTGTCACATGGGAATATAATCTGAAATCCGGTTTCTAAGAGTAGAAGGACACATTTTAGGAACAAAATGACAGGTTTTCATAATGTACTGTAGTAACACATTTTGAGGACAAAAAGTACAGCTTTTTGCACAGTATGCATCTTTTTTGCAGCATTAAGAAGTATCAAGCAAAAGTAAATGCATCTTTATAGTGAAAATACCTTATAGCCATGCAGTATTTCAGCAAACAAACACATATGTTGTAATTCTTTTCTAACTTTCCTTACAATTGAAAATGATTCCACTATGGATTTATTTTTAAAACAGACAAGTAAAAAAATATTGGATAAACTTTACATTGCTTAGATAAATACAGTTACCTCTGAATTTTTCTGTTTTTTGGGCACTAAGGCTGATTTTTCCTGTCATCTCTAGTCATTTCTTGGCAGCTTTCTTCTGTTAGTCAGTTTTCTCAACAAGGCATATTAACTTATACCCATATTTATTGACTAGAATTCCATATACTATATCCCAAAGGTACAATTACATTTCATGTCTTTAATTTTTCTTTTGAATTTCCTAGATAATAACCAAGAATTGTCATGGATGTCACAATTTCTTGGAATATGATTGATTTCCTAATTGACTATAGAATCATTGACTACTCATAGTATTTCAATGTTACAAACATTGTATTTTTGACCATTGCAAAAAACAAAGGAAACTTTTATTTAAAAACTATAGCATAAAATATAAATATCAGATTGTACAAGAATTTATGGAATATGACAATGAAAACATGTGAGGTCTTTTTTTTTTTTTTTTTTGAGACAGAGTCTTGCTTTGTTGCCCAGGCTAGAGTGAGTGCCGTGGCGTCAGCCTAGTTCACAGCAACCTCAAACTCCTGGGCTCAAGCAATCCTGCTGCCTCAGCCTCCCGAGTAGCTGGGACTACAAGCATGCGCCACCATGCCTGGCTAATTTTTTCTCTATATATATTAGTTGGCCAATTAATTTCTTTCTATTTATAGTAGAGACAGGGTCTCACTCTTGCTCAGGCTGGTTTCGAACTCCTGACCTCGAGCAATCCGCCCGCCTTGGCTTCCCAGAGTGCTAGGTTTACAGGCGTGAGCCACTGCGCCCGGCCATGAGATCTTTACAATTCTTGATCAAATCAATGGTTATAATTATTCACACATCAAGTGGACAAAAAAAGCACATGGAGCCAGGCATCTTAGATGAAAGATAAGTGTGACAAGATGTTGCTAGAGATGATGCCAGTCTTTCAGTACATTTCCCCAGACATGAATAATGGTCCCAGGTAGGAAACTTACTAGTTATTCTGAGGTTGGAATAGGCTGCATTTGTGGGTAGGTTTCTTTAGTCATCTAAATGAAAGCATTCTCTAATCTTTATACCCAGGCGAAAGTGGTTGTATCTTTATGGTCAGTGTTTAATGAGATATAGCAATAATAATTCAGGAAGTTGATACAGAATGAAGCATATTGGCTTGGTCCATTCCTTGCTGACACAAAAGTCATATCTATATAGCATTTACTGTTTGACCTCCAATGCTGTTTTCTTCTTTTACATCACTGTGTCCATGGAGTTAGAATAACTGTTAAAGATAAGGAGTGGAGCCAGAGAGAAGTACACAGAGGAAAAAATATACCTAATACCAATGATGGATTTACTACAAAGCCAATGAAATTAAGTTTTAGGGCCCCTCAACTTGTACAGGTCCCTTCCAATGGCCTGAGAGTATTTTACTTTTAGTATTGTCAGTTTTTCATAATTTGTAATTTGTTGTGATTATTCTCATTCTAAATATTTAATTTGTATATAATTTTGTATTCATAATTTTGTATTTTTTAAAAAAAGGGACAAACTGTATAAGGGTCAGGCTTCTCAAAATATGGATCTTCCCATTTTATGTGTGCATCACCAATAATTAGTAGAATTTGCTTTAATATCCTCCAAATTCCTACCATCCTCTCCCTCATCCTAATACAACAGAAACTATAGCTAAAAAGCAAACATTTTGATGAACATCAATAATACTCAATCCATGTACATGTTAGCAATTAATTAACCACTAGGAGAATTTATGCACTAATGATTTTTTGAGATGACACTATAAAAAGAAATAAGAATGTGGGCCTGCTGTGCTATAATAGGTTTACAGATCTATAAGTGACCTAAATTGTCATTAACTGAACTCCTGAATTTTACGTATGAGAAAACTGAGGATTAGAGAGGAAATATTATTTGCTAAAGTTCACATCTAGGTAATTAGTGGTTAAGTTGGGATTTCAAGAAACTACTTCATACTTACAGTAATTTCTACTATTGTTCCAATTTTTTTTGCTTCTACATTTATAAAGTTTAATCTTTATTTTTATTTATTTATTTTTTGACAGTGTCTTACTCTGTTGCCTGGGCTAAAGTGCCATGGCGTCAGCCTAGTTCACAGCAACCTCAAACTCCTAGGCTCCAGCAATCCTTCTGTCTCAGCCTCCCGAGTAGCTGGGACTATAGGCATGCACCACCATGCCCGGCTAATTTTTCTATATATTTTTAGTTGTCCAATTAGTTTCTTTCTATTTTTAGTAGAGACAGGGTCTTGCTCTTGCTCAGGCTGGTTTTGAACTCCTGACCTTGAGCAACCGCCAGTCTTGGCCTCCCAGAATGCTAGGATTACAGATGTGAGCCACTGTACCCGGCCTGAAGTTTATTTCTTAACATGTTTTGGATTTATATATTTTGCATGATAAGGTTAAAATCCTATTTGACTCTCTATGACTGACAGCAAACTTATTAGATATTTTAAATCTTTACTTTGTATACTTCACAATCAGCCTATAAAGTCATATTCTTTTTGCATGCAGTTTACAATTTAAGGGTATCCTTGATCTAATTGAACAATAATATAACAGCTTCTATTTAAAATGTCTATCCATTTTTTTAGTTCATTAACTGATTATTTCAACTCAAGAAATTCTATATTAAGACTGTCTTCTATTTCATTAAATCATTATGTTAAAATTAGATTTTCCATGCAACTGTAATAATAGTTTTGTTATGCTAACATAGCTAACAATAAAGAAGATTTAGCAATAGATGAAAACAATTCTGAAAATACTAGCATGACATTTGAAGAGTCACTTCTAATTGTAGCTTGAAAAAATTCACATTAAATCATTATGTTTGTTGGAGGAAATCTGAAGGTTATTTTGCCCTTTGGCAAAAGTAATGACATTCCTTTAAAAAAGTACTAGAAATGTACATAAATACAAAGACAGATACAATCATATTATAATTGAAGTAATATATGGCCCTTAAAAAAATACAAGCTGACTTCACTGGGAATTAATCCTTAGATTTCTTATTTCTGACCTTAAAAATTACCTATTTCAGTGTATTGTAAAAATATTTATAATAAATTTGGTACATATATATACATATAAAATATAATGATGCACATAAATTACCATTAAGATCCCAACAGTTAAATGGACAAGGGTTATGAACTGGTAATCAAGAGAGAAGGAAATAAAAACAACTGATAAATATGAGGGAAAACATTTACTGTCATTAATCACAAGATAAGCACAAAATATAACTAGGATTATAATTATGACTATTTTCACTTCAGTAATTCTATTTGTTTAAATAGTAAAAGCATCATGAGTTGGTTATACATGTATGCCACTGATAGAGTATAAATTAATACAAGCCTTTAGGAAAGAAATTTTTCAATATATATTAAAAAACTTAAAAATGTTCATAACTCTTGGACCAATAATTACATGCCTAAGCAACATTCTGAAAAAAAGCCTTATGTTTGAAGATACATAATTATGTGCATCACCACAGTATTCATAATAATAAATAGCATTAATTTGAAAAATTTGAATATCAACAATGAAGAAAATATCAAGTAAATGACAGTATGACCACATGATCATATAATTTGATCATATATATCACATATATATGTGTTTGTTTCAAAATTATATAAGTAAAATATTAATAGTAAAAATACTGGAAGAAAATATATAAATATCATTAATAGTTAATTCAAATGGTTTTCTATATTTTCTGTATTTTATATAATGAAGAGTTAATATTTTCAAATTAAAAATAATTTTAATAATAAAGTTAAAGAAAGGTAGAAAATAGTAGAAACATATGTAGCATATAAGAAAAATGTCCAAGCAATTAAATGTGTACTAAAACAAAACTGAGGTTTCATTTGAAAATTCTAGTAAAACTATGGAAAAGAGATAAAACCCAACACAGATAAGAATATAGAGTTTATTTTGGCAGAATTCTTCTGGTAGATAATTTAATAATACAAATAATCCTAAAACAATTGTACACTCTCTCACCATAATCAGAATATTAGAAACATATTCAAGGAAATTGTTCAAATGGTTAAAAATATAAGACACCTAACAAAGATATTAGATCAGCTTTATATTTAATACCTGGAAATCTGTAACAACCTAAATGACCCAACAATAATTGAATGATTAAATAAATTATGGTTTATAAATTCAATAGTTTATAATGCATTTACTTAAAAATTAATGACTAGATGGGAAAGAGAGACATGATTATATAATCTTACATACTATATCCATTGAGAAACATTGGAAGGAAACAAAAATAAACCCATAAATGATTGCTCTGTTAGGAAGGATTTGAGAGACATTGACAAATCTTTTATAAATGCTTTATATTAATGATAAATCTTATTCTAAAATTGCTTACCACTTGCATCCTATGTGGCCTCTTTTCAGGGGTAATAAATTCTGGAATATGTGTTTCTGATTCTGGGAGATAAGGTGGCAGAGCAATTATGTAATGACATATTTTAGTTACACCTTTGCACTAGAAAAGAAGAAAACAAAGAGAAAGATGCATGAAATTCATATCTAAGTCATTAACTCTGTGTTACCACATAATTGTTATAATTTTCATCTTTCAAAATATGAATATCATTCAAGGAAAGATACTGCAAGACTTACAAACAGGGTGAAAAATATATTTGTTTTGCCAACAAGAAAGGTTTCTAGAGTGAGTTAAGTATATAGTATCAAAACATAAAACTGGATTTAATTCCTTAGGTCTTCTCAATTACACTGTAGACAATATGCAGATGAGTGAGAAGAGATGAAAATACATTTTAAATGTTCATTTATTATTAAATACATTATTTTTCATGGAAATTTTAGAAAAAACAGAAGAACCTAAGTAGAAAGTAATCATCACCCAAAATCCCACCCACAGGAAATAGGATAAGATTAAATTCATTTATCATAACATCTATAAATATCTATTTACTGCAGCTTTATTTCAAAATATACTTTTGAGGAATTTTTTTTTATATCCCTATATATGTGCCTTCAAGAACCATATTGTCATTTCCTTAAAATATGGCAAACTCCCTATAGAAAATTTGAATTGTGTGAATTTTAATGTTGTGAGACAATACATAGAATTTTATTTTAAAATGTCAGTAAGGGTTAGGAAAGGAATTAATAACTTTAAGTAAAAAGAACGAGTTACAAATAATGATCCAATAAACCACCTGATTATTTATCAGTAAATCTCAGGGTGGGAATTATAGCTTATAAATTACTGTTTGAATCCTCATCATTTAGCAAAATTCCTAACACATAGTAGAGCTACATGAATATTTACTATTGATGAATATTATGACATAAAAGCAATTCTCAAACTTTTTCCAGGGATATATAGAAGGACTTGCACTGCTCTTCTGGGTGATTAAATGATATACAAAGATTAAATATAACATTGGCTTTAGGTAGAGAGGTTGCTGAACACAGTGATTTAAATCATTAAAGATCAGAATACCTTACACTCTTAATGACCCAGAAAAAGCTATAACTAAAAATCCACATTCATGCTGGTACCAAATATATACTTCACTCTACATAACTATTTGAATTTGATAGGTACATTTAAAGTGTAAAGTTGCAAATATAGCATAAGTTATATATATGCATAGGTTGACTTTTTTATTTCAAAGTATTATGGGGGTGAAAATATTTTCGGTTACAAGGATTGCTTTTGTAATGCTTGAGTCAGGGTTATAAATGTGACCGTCACCCAGATAGTGTTCATTGTACCCATGTAGGCAGGTTTTTATGCATTCCTTACCCTACCTCCCCCAATTGATTTCCATTCAGTTATACTTCCCTCTATGCACATGCATGCCCATCAGTCAGTTCCAATTTAATAGTGATTATACATGTTTGTTTTTTCATTCTTTAGATACTTCACTTAGGATAATGGTCTCCAATTCCATCCATATTGCTGCAAAAGACATTAAGTCATCCTTGATCACTGAGTAGTATTCTATGGTATGTATACACCACATTTTGTTAATCCACTCATGAATTGATAAGCACTTAGGTTGATTCCACATCATTGCAATTGAAAATTGTGCTTCAATAAAACATTTGAGTGCAAGAATCTTTTTGATGAAATGATTCTCTTTCTTTGGGTGAATACCCAGTAGTGGATTGAAACAGGATACATCTCTCTCTCTCACCACTCACAAAAATTAATTCAATATGTGGTTTCATTTTACATTGCTCTGATAATTAAAGATGTCGAGTATTTTTTCACATTTATTGGCCATTTATTTATCTTCCTTTGAAAATATTATGTTCATATCTTTTGCCCACTTTGTAATGGGGTTGTCTTATTTTCTCTTGCTGATTTGCTTGAGTTCGTTATGAATTCTGGTTATTAGTCCTTTATTGGATATGTAATTTGTGGATATTTTCTCCCATTCTGTAAGTTGTATATTTGCTCTGTTGATAATTTCCTTGGCTGTGCAAAAGATTTTTAATTTGATTATGTCTCATTTATTTATTTTTATTATTTCTATGATTGTCATTGAGGTTTTCTTCATAAATTCTTTGCCTAGGCCAATACCTGGAAGAGTTTTTCCAACATTTTTTTCTAGAGTTCTTATGGTTTCATGCCTTACATTTAACTCTCTCATCAATCGTGAATTAATTTTTGTGAGTGGTAAGAGATATAGATCCTGTTTCATACTTCTGCATATGGCTATCTTGTTGTTCCAGCAACATTTATTGAATAGGGCTTATTTTCCCCAATGTATATTGTTGTCTCATTTGTCAAAGATCAGTTGGCTGTTTGTAGATGGTTTTACTTCTGGGTTTCCTATTCTGTTTGAATGGTTTATGTCTCTATTTGTGCACCAATACAATGGTGTTTTGGTTACTATAGCCTTGTAACATAGTTTGAAGTCTAGTAATATGATGCCTCCAGATTTGTTCATTTGCTTAAGATTGTTTTGGCTATTTGAGCTCTTTTGTGGTTCAAAATAAAGCATAATTTTATTTTTTCCAGATCTGTGATATATGACATTGGTATTTTAGTGGGGATTGCATTGAATCTGTAAATCATTGTGGGAAGTATAGGCATTTTAACAATGTTGATTCTATCAATCTATGAGCATGGTATGTTTTCCCATTTATTTGTATCATTAGCAATTTCTCTCCTCTATGTTGCATAGTTCTCTTTGTAGAGGTTTTCCACCTTCTTAATTAAGTTTATTCCTAAGTATTTTATTTTCATTGTATGTAGCTATTGTGAAAGGTATTGAGACTTTGATTTAACTCTCAGCTTGACTGTTATTGGTGTATAGGAATGCTACTGATTTGTGCACATTCATTTTCTAACCTGAGACATTGCTGAATTTATTTATCAATTCCAGGAGTCTCTTGGTGGAATATTTGGAGATTGTCTAGATAGAAGATCATATCATCAGCAAAAAGAGATAATTTGACCTCCTCTTTCCCAATTTGAATATCCTTAATTACTTTCTATTCCCTGATTGTTCTGGTTAAGATTTCCAGGACTATGTTGAATAGAAGTGGTTACAGTAGGCATCCTTGTCTTCTTCCAGTTCTTAGGGGGAATGCTTTCAATTGTTTTCTATTCAGTATGATGCTGGCTGTGGGTTTGTCATATATAGCTTTTATAATTTTGATATATGTTACTTCTATGGCAATTTTGTTGAGGGTTTTTATCATGAAAGTATGCTGCATTTTCTCAAATGATTTTTCTATATTTATTGAGATGGTCATATTATCTTTTTTTTCACTCTGTTCATGTGGTGAATCATATTTCTTGATTTATGTATGCAGAACCATCCTTGCATCCCTGGGAAGAAGCATCCTCCCTCATCAAAGACACAGTGAATCTCCACACTCACATAGCTCTATGGCTACAGCCTGCAAACAACTAGCAACTGAGAAACCAAACACACTAAACATATCTACACGCAAGACATCCATCCAGAATCTAGAGCACAATCAAAGCACCCACAAACAAAGGCAAAGGCTCTTATCTAACATATGTTACAGAACACCCATATGGGTGAAGGGAGAGGAAAAAACACCACATAAACAAAAGAAAATGCAAGAATAAGAAGTGACAGCTGCTCCAGATAAAAAGGAATCATTAAAAGAACTCCAGAAGTATGAAAAATCGGACCAAAAGGACATCCTCAAAAGGGAACACTAGCTCTCTAGCAATGTATACCAACCAAAAAAAAAATACTGAAATGACAAAGTATTCCAAATATGGATCATGAGGAAGCTCAACAAAATCCAAGAAAAAATGGAAAACCAATGGAAAGAAACCAGAAAAATAATTCAGGAAATTAATAAAAAATTCACTAAGGAGGTTGACATATTAAAAAACATGGAACTTCTGGAAATAAAAATGTCATTTAAGAAAATAAAAAACACAGTAGAAAGCTTTAAGAATAGACTAGACTAAGTAGAAAAAAAAATCCCAGAGCCTAAAAGAAATATGGGATTATGTAAAATGGCCAAATATAAGAATCATAGACATCGCTGAGAATGAATGAAAATGCACAAGGGCTGGAAAACCTGTTTGAGGAAATAAACCAAGAAAACATCCCTGGTATGGCTAGAGATTTAGACATCCAGGTACAAGAATCTGAATTGATACCTGGGAGATTCATTGCAATCTCCAAGAAACATAGTCATCAGACGGGCCAAAGTCAACATGAAGGAGGAACTCCTATGAGGCTGTAAAGTGAAAATGTCAAGTAACTTACAAAAGAAAACCCATCAGGCTTACTGCAGACTTCTCAACTGAGACTTTATCAGAGAGAAAGGATTGGGACTCCATCTTCATTTTTCTTAAACAGAACAAATGCAGCCTGAAATTTTATATTCTGCAACAATAAGTTTGATACATGAAGGAGAAGATAAGACTTTTTCAGACAAGCAAACACTGAGGGAATTTGTCAAGACCAGACCTACCCTGTAGGAAACACTCAGATTTGAATTGTTATTGAACAGCACAAGAATCAGCCATCAGTGTAAAACTACCCAAAAGCTAAAGCTCATAGCTCATATAAAACAATATTATAAAAGGTAAAATACAGCAATAAAGTATTACCCAACAGGATGAACAGAAGTTCATCCCACATATCAATTATATCAATCAACCTGAATGGTTTGAATGCCTCACTCAAGAGACATAGGCTGGCTGAATGGATGATGAAATATAACTCTATCTGCTGTTAGAGGAAACACATGTAACACACAAATATTCATACTAACTCAAGATGAAGGGATGGAAAAATATATTCCATGAAAATGAAAATCAAAAGAAGGCAGGTGTGGCCATTCTAATAGCAGATAAAATTGAATATAAGTCAAAAGTAGTACATAAAGACAAACGTGATCATTATATAGCAGTGAAAGGAGAAATTCAACAAGAAGGCATAACCAACCTAAATATTTATACATCTAACACAGGAGCACTCAGATTCATAAAGCAAACCCTACTGA